CTCCATGAACTCTAAGTCTCTAACCTTTCGATCTGCATATTCTTTTTGTCTACTTTGCGCCGCTAGAAGCTTTTCTTGAATAGATTTCACCTTCTCCATCGAATCCCTCAAGAGATCAGTACCCCAAGGTCTAATCTCGAATGCATCAAACCAACCAATGGGGGACCTACATCTCCTACCATACAATGCTTCAAATGGAGCCATATTAATGCTTGAGTGATAGCTATTATTGTATGAAAACTCCACTAAGGGTAAGAAGTTATCCCAATGGCCACCAAACTCTATCACACATGCGCGAAGCATATCCTCCAACACTTGAATCGTTCTCTCAGACTGACCATCGGTCTGAGGATGGAATGCAGTACTAAGGTCCAACCTAGTACCCAATTCAGCATGCAATGTTCTCCAAAACTTGGAAGTAAACTGCGTACCTCTATCTGATATGATGGATAGTGGAACCCCATGCAACCGAACAATTTCTGAGATATAGATTTTGGCTAACTTCTCTGCCTTGTAAGTCACCTTGACCGGAATGAAATGAGCAGACTTAGTTAACCTATCAACAATCACCCAGATGGAATCGTACTTACCCATCGTCTTTGGAAGACCAACCACGAAGTCCATCGCGATTCTCTCCCATTTCCATTCCGGAATGGGCATTCTCTGAAGTGTCCCTCCGAGCCTTTGGTGTTCATACTTTACTTGTTGACAGTTTGGACATTTGGCAATAAAATCCACAATATCACGCTTCATTCTACTCCACCAAAAGTGTAGCTTTAGGTCACGGTACATCTTGGTTGCACCCGGATGTATCGAATACCTTGAACTATGAGCCTCTGTCAGAATAGTGTTGATCAAATCATCGACGCGGGGTACACATACCCTTCCCTTGATCCTCAAAACACCTTCCTCATCGATTTATGCTTCCTTAGCCTCTCCTCGCAATACCTTGTCTTGGATTCTACGCAGTTTCTCATCAGCAAACTGTCTTCCCTTAATCTTGTCAATAAAGGAAGATCTTGCCTCCACAGAAGCCAACAATCCTCCCTTCTCATTTACTTCTAATCTCATAAGGCCGTTAGCCAGAATCTGAACTTCTCTAGCCAATAGGCGTCTAGAAGCTTGCAAGTGAGCTAGACTTCCCATGCTTCCCACCTTTCTACTTAAAGCATCCGCTATAATATTCGCCTTTCTCGGATGATACAAAATAGTGATGTCGTAGTCCTTCAGTAGTTCCATCCATCTCCTCTGTATCAAGTTCAAATCCTTCTGAGTAAAGACATACTGAAGGCTACGATGATCCGTGTAGACCTCACACTTAACCCCATATAAATATTGTCTCCATTGCTTTAATGCAAACACTACCGCAGCCAATTCCAAATCATGAGTTGGATAGTTACGTTCATGCACTTTTAATTGCCTCGAAGAATAAGCAATCACATTCTTCTCTTGCATTAGTACTGCACCTAAACCAGAATAGGAGGCATCATAATAAACAATGAAGTTCTTACCCTCTACGGGCAAGGTGAGAATGGGTGCGGTAGCCAACAAAGTCTTGAGCTTCTGAAAGCTTTCTTCACACTCATCCGATTATACAAATGGAACATTTTGCTTAGTCAAGTTCGTCAGTTGGGAAGCAATAGAAGAGAATCCCTTGACAAAACGGCGGTAGTAGCTAGCTAACCCAACAAAGCTCCGTATTTCTGACACATTAGTAGGTCTTACCCAATTTTTTACTGTCTCAATCTTAGATGGATCCACCATCACTCCCTCCTTAGAGACCACGTGTCCCAAGAAGGACACTGAATCTAGCCAAAACTCACACTTGGAGAATTTGGCATAAAGCTTCTTCTCCCTCAACATTTCCAATACCATTCTCAAATGCTCCTCATGTTCCTCCTTACTTTTAGAGTATATCAGTATATCATCAATAAATACGATCATAAAGAGATCCAAATATGGCTTAAAAATCCCGTTCATCAAACTCATGAACGCAGTCTTTGGCTTAAAAGACATCACTACAAATTCGTAATTCCTATACCTAGTTCGAAAAGCAGTCTTTGGCACATCCGTTGCCTGTATCTTCAATTGGTGATAACCGAATCTCAAGTCAATCTTAGAGAAGACACAAGCACCTTGTAACTGATCGAACAAGTCATCAATGCGAGGAAGAGGATACTTGTTCTTTATGGTTACCTTGTTTAGTTGTCTGTAGTCTATACACATTCGAAAACTCCCATCCTTCTTCTTCACAAACAAAACCGAAGCACCCCAAGGAGATGCACTTGGTCTAATGAAGCCTTTGTTTAACAACTCTTGAAGTTGGGCTTTTAACTCTCTTAACTCCGCGGGAGCCATTCTATAAGGGGGTATAGAAATGGGGCGAGTATCCGGTTCAAGGTCAATACAGAAATCAATATCCCTATCTGGTGGCATACCAGGAAGATCTGCAGGAAACACATCCCGAAACTCACGGACCACCGAAACCGACTCAATCGAAGGTACTTGGGTAGTGTCATCCTTGAGATGTGCCAAGAAAGCTAAACTCTCTTTACTAACCATTTTCTTAGCACGAAGAAAGGAGATGATACACACCGGTTTGGAAGTGTAGTCACCCTCCCACACTAACGGATCTGTCCCAGGCTTGGCTAACGTCACAGTTTTAGCATTACAATCCAAGATTGCAAAATTTGGAGAAAGCCAAGTCATACCCAGAATTACATCGAAGTCAACCATTTCTAAGATAACCAAATCTACATAAGTGTTTCTCCCCACAAAGTTCACCGAACAAGTCCTATATACCTTTTCAACTACCACAGACTCACCCGCCGGAGTAGAAACACGAATAGGCATATCAAGTAATTCACAATGTAAATTTAGACCATTAGCAAATGCGGAAGATACATATGAAAATGTAGAGCCAGGGTCAAACAATACAAAAGCCATGCAATCACAAACCGAAAGATTACCTGTGATGACAGCATCTGATGCCTCCGCTTCTGACCGCCCAGGGAAAGCGTAACAATGGGCTCTCTCACCTGTCTGTCCGTTGCCCCTACTAGGTTGTGATATAGTGGCTCCAGTTTGCCCATCACCCCGACAATTTTGGTGACCACCATTACCGCGACCACCGCGTCCTCTAGAATGACGGCCTCTTCCATAACCACCTCTACCTCTAACATTTGGAGGTCTGTAACTCTGTTTTGGACAATACCTCTTAATGTGTACGATCTCCCCACATCCATAACACTCTCTGGGTTCATGCATAGGTCTCTCAGAAAAGTGTTGACCGGTCTGAGGTGGACCCCCAACTACAGTCTGTAGTGAAGACTGAATTGGTCGGACTGAGTAACCTCCGGAACCTTGTCCTCTAGAGTAAGAACCATTAAACTCACCTCCCTTTTGAAACCTTTTTGATGTAGTTGCCATGGTAAAGTCATCTGGCTTCACTCCCTCTACCTCTATTACAAAGTCTACCACTTCTTGAAAAGATTTTGCCGTAGCCGCTACCTGTAAGGCTGAAATCCGCAATTCTGACCTCAACCCCTTCACAAAACGATAAATCCGCTCTTGTGGACTGAAACATAGTTGGGTGGCATACCGGGATAATGCACGAAACTTAGCCTCATATGCAGTAACCGACATCCTACCTTGCTCTAGGCTCAAAAACTCATCCCTTTTCCTATCCCTCAAAGTCCGGGGGATATACTTCTCCATAAACAAGCTAGAGAATGAGGCCAAGTCGTAGGTGGTGCCCCCGTTGGTTGACACTCAACATGTGACCGCCACCACATTTTGGCGTTCCCTTGAAACTGATAACTCACGAACTCAACACCAAACCGTTCTACTATACCCATCTTGTGTAGTAGCTCATGAGAGTCAACCAGAAAATCGTAAGCATCCTCAGATTCCGCACACTTAAAGACTGGAGGTTTCAATTTCAAGAACTTACTGAAAAGTTCATGCTGATCATTTGTCATTATAGGCCAAGTAGTCAGACATGGAAACGTGCCTATGTCCAATGGAACATCCATGCGGGGAGCCGCAGTAGCCGCATGTTGTACCTCTGAAACCGGAGGTGTTGGTGCAGAAAACACTAGAGGTGCCTGACCTTGATCAGACAACCCACTGAGATAGGCGAGAACCTGATTGATCATCTGTGGGGTAGGTTGGGGTGGCAATCCCTCATTCTGCACTTGTTCATTTTCCCCATCCTCCCCTTCTCTTATTACTTCCTCAGTCGGTGGGGGAGTCACTTCCCTAGTATTAGATGGGCTAGGTGCTCGTCCTCCTCCCCTAGAGGACGTCCTCCCACGACCTCTACCACAGCCTCTTGTCGCTGCTCTTCCTCGAGCTACAGCCCCAGTGGCTGGCTCAGACGCACCCTGTCCCGCTGGTGCTGGTGTTGGCGCGGTTGTTGCTCTAGTTCTAACCATCTGCAAGGTAGAGTGAAGATGGACAGATACCAATTTGTATCACCTGGATACCAATTGGATCTAAGTAATAGCACGAAAGAAAGAAAAAAAGAATGGAATTTTCCTAAAGTCTTATAACCTCTTAAAGAAAATTAAAGGTGTCCCCCTACCGTTCCTTAAGACTCTACTAGACTCGTTCTTGTGTGATGAGACCAACGAACCTAATACTCTGATACCAAGTTTGTCACGACCCAAATCCTGGCCGCGACTGGCACCCAAACTTACCCTCCTATGTGAGCGAACCAACCAAATCTAAACCTTAACATTTCAATGTAATATCAACATAAAGTAATGCGGAAGACTTAACTCATTAAAAAAATCAATAACTATTATTATCCCCAAAATCTGGAAGTTATCACCACAACAACATCTATGATCAAATTACTAAACTAAGAGTATTCTAAGAAGCTAAAACAAATAAAAGCTAGTCCATGCCGAAACTTCAAGGTATCAAGACATGAGGAAGAAGATCCAGTCCAAGATAGAAGCGTTAGCTCACCCTGAAGATCCGGTGTGACGAAGACTGGCTAGAATTACTGTTGAGTTGAAGACGACGGCACGTTTGCTGCACTCCACAAATAACAAAGAAGAAAACATAAAAGTGGGGGGTCAGTACAAACACAAGTACTGAGTAGGTATCATCGGCCAACTCAAAATAAAAAACAGTATATATTAAGCAATATCATAAAATCAACTAATATCCTTAACATGCAGCATTTACAGTTACCATAACCCTTGGTTACAACACCAAGCACATCGATGAGGACTCACGCCTCCTCATCATACTCATTTGGGAATTAGGTTCATTAGATTTGAATATATTATCATCTTTCAAGATTCATTATCTTTATTCCCCTCGTGTCGGTACGTGACACTCCGATCCTCATTCTATCCCGGTGTCGTAATGTGACACCCGATCCATATTCTATCCTGGTACCGGAACGTGGCACCCGATCCATATTCTACCCTGGTACCAAAACGTGGCACCCGATCCATATACTATCCTGGTGTCGGAACGTGACACCCGATCCATATACTATCCTGGTGTCGGAACATGGCACCCGATCCTCATATACTATCCTGGTACCGGAACGTGGCACCCGATCCTCATATACTATCCTAGTACCGGAACGTGGCACCCGATTCCCTAATCTCACTACTTTCGTTCATCAAGCCTTCTTTTATACCAAGGCATCATCATTAACAAAGTAGATTAGGGTTTCTTTCAAGATTTTGGATTCAATAACTTCATCATGCTTATTTTATCACAATCACATAATCATATTCATGCAAGCATACAATTAAGCATATAGAAGGGTTTACAATACTACCAACACATATCATTCGCTATTAAGAGTTTACTATAAATAGCATAAAAACCATAACCTACCTCCACCGAAGATTCGTGATCAAGCAAGCAAATTTTCTCCAAAGCTTTGTGTTTCCCCTTCTCGATCGACCCTCTCTCTCTCTCTTCTTGTCCTTTCTATTTTCTTTATTCAAACCCTCTTTCTTTTACCCTAATTAGTATATAATTAAGAATAAAAGATGGTAATAATAACCCACTAATTAACTTAAGGTTACCTCTTTTAACTCCCAAGTAATTAGACTTATTAACATTAACCCACTAACTTTATAATTAAAGCAGTAATAGTCAAAAACGTCCCTTAAAACGTATCAAGAAATCCGACCCAGACTCGGATTACGCAACCTGCGACGGCCCGTCGTGCCTGCGACGGTCCGTCCTGCAGGTCGTCACAAGGTACAGAGACTGGATTTCCACTGAAGACTCTGTGACGGTCCGTCGTGCCTTTGACGGTCCTTCACGCCTGTGACGGTCCGTCCTGCCATTCCGTCACGAAGTTCAGAGAGTCGATTTTCAGTACCCAATTTCAGATTTTCTAAGTGTTTTGAAACGAGACCCTGCGACAGTCCATCGTGCCCATGACGGCCCGTCGTGGGGTCCGTCGCTTCTGCCAGTTTTTCCAGAATTGAAGTCTGCTGCTCAAAACGACTAAACAGGTCGTTACAATTCTTCATCCTGGAACTCCATGACAGAGACTATTTTCCAGTTACAAGAACGGTAAGTGTCCAGTGGGTGCTTTTCTACATTTTCCCTTGCATGCCATTCTTTACTTGCTCCTCTAAACATATCAAAGTTATTTTCACAGTTTGCATGCTTACAACTTACAAGCATCACTAAACACCAAGCCTTGACTCCAACTTTCCAACTATTATAGTCTTTCAACTTTACACCCCAACCAAAACGCTGATATGAATTTTCAGTATAATACTTTTAATAGGAAACACTTATATCAGCCAAAACACAACCACTAAGACCAGACAAAATAGCAAAATAAGAAAATATCACAACTATATCTAGATACCTGACTTGTTAATCTTTTTAATTGCACACATTTTCTTCATATCAACAACATAAATATTCCCTTTTCAATCAACAGCAAAGCTTCTAGGTTTGTTGAACTTAGCATTATCCAGAGAACCATCAGCGTAGCCAATGCAATTACCAGTTAACTTAATAACAGTAGTATCTGCGAAATTACCAAGAAGATTGATATAACTCGATTCGGCAACAATCCCACATCATAAAATCAACTCTTTCATCAAATAGTTCAATAAAAATTAAATTTTTATCACATTTACCCCCAAAAAACTGAACAAAATTAAAGACGCTAGAGAGTTGTGTTTCAGTGTTCTCTTTTTTTTTTCTTAAATAAAGTTAATCCTCTGCTCTTTCAAAAAGTTCTTTCCTTGAATGTTTTTTATTGATGGATTCCTTGAGAACATTTTCTTCGGAAAGAAAAGAGAAGGTTGCAAATTCTGTGGTGACATAGCTAACATAGAATTATGCAGATAATGATATTAGATAAGCGAGTCAGCGATAACATCAGTCATTATCAGAATATTTTATTTCAACATGTATTTTAAGGCTAACCAAAGAAAACAATGACACAATTAAGAATGTAGCCATGTAGAGTTCAACTATGACTTCCATGAAAGGTCTCATTCATCTTGATTAAGGAGTTTCTTACTCTTAATTGAGGATTTTCTTACTGACCAACCACCGTTATATCCCTAGTTGAACTTAAAATTCACTAATAAAGTCGGCAATAATGTTGAAGTCTTTAAACAAAAGCCTTATGCAGAAATCAAAGTTGATATTGACAATACCACTAACATGAATTTTTAGTGCCTCGTTCAAGAGAAGATACTTTTTACCACCTATTTTTTCTAAATTTTCCCACACACATTCATTCCAGAGCATGAGCCAGTTGAACATACTAATTGAAATCAAAGAGAAAGAACTTCATACAAGTAACCAATATTAGGGAAAAATTAACATAAATTCCAGTGAAGTATAACCTATGGTCATCATTTACCTAGAATGAAGAACTACTTGTGGAATGAAAGGTGAATGTGATGTATCTTTTTCAGCCGCAAGCCTCTGAGCTTTTTGAAGCTCCTTCAATACAACTTGAAATTTTTTAGCAAATTTAGCATCTGTAATTTTCTTGCTAGCCTGAGACCAAAGAACAAATTTATGATTATAAGCAAAAGAGACAAGTAAGAAGAGCAAGAAATATATATAATGCTGAGAAATGCCTAAAAATATAAGCAAATTGTGATGAGAGAAGATTACTACATGTTTTGAACATACCTATAAAAGTGTATAACTACTAAGACAAATAGAGAAATAGAGGAGAACACCTTTTGAACTTACACTGACTTCAATTTGATGGTTTGTTTAGCTGGCTTGCTTAACTTTTGTAGAAGTATTTTTCAGTAATCGCTTGATAGGTATTCTCGTCTTGTACTTGCATTTGACAAAATCAGCACAAGTATCAAACATTCTTTATTTTTTTTTAATTAATACCCATTACAGAATTAACACCTAAAAGGTAGTTTCCATCTTTCATCTCATCAACACACTATATTGTTGCTACAACATTAAGTTAAGCATGCAATCAAGGAAAAATCCCTTCACCTTCTTTTTTCAAAATTAAAAAGTAAACTAACTTAGTAAGCTAGCTTTGGTTGCTAAGCAAGCCGGGCACTACGGTAAGAACAAGAACCCGACACATTTCCAACTGAAAAATCGACCCCTGGCCCCAAGAAATTCTACATCCACAAATTCGAAAAATAATCAGGACACTGAGCAACTAATGTTTGTTATGAAAATTTTCTACTTTAAGCAATACATCGTGTATATATATAAGTAAATTGAAGATCATATCTAATACATAAATAAAATAAACTTAAAAATATTAGGTACCACTGCTTCTATGTGAATGCACTTCTTGTTAAGGTATAAAAAAGAAATCAGAAAATTTTATATATTTGTTAGTTTTGCTTACTCTTATGTTGACATCTGCACAACATATCCAAGAAAGTCTCTGCATGTGAACATGAACAGAGTTGCGATAGTCGTTTGTAGTTGTTGTTCAATTAAGAAAGCTCACACTATGTACATCATTTGCATCTCCACAAATCCCTGTGTGCAAAGCAATATTTTCATACAACTAACTACAAGAGTAGTAAGAGTCACTTTCAACTTTCATGACGGATAAACAGAACACCTAAAGACAATACAATCTCTGCTGGACCTAAGATAAAAAAAAATTTAAATTTCCTCGATTTCGTCTTCTATACAAATTTGACCGATACACAAAACTTAGAAGGAACTTGATAATATGGCAACTAAAATCAAAGCCTTGCGACGTCGTATTTTTTCAGATAAACATGTAGACAGAATTTAGAACACTGGTCAATACAAATTAGGAACCATACAATCATCGCAAATTTAACAAATCTTATGATTTAGTTTCAAGATATAAAAAAGATAATCAATCTTACTATGCTGAAAATAAGTCAATCGATCCATGAAAAAGAAAAATATAGCAAAGGCATTTATAGAGAGAGATATGAGGACGAACAAGATGGATATGTGCTTAAGCGACCGATCAAGAAATGCAAAGATGAGGGAAATGGTTAGTGATGAGGATTTAGGACATAAAGTTCATTATCTCACTTTTCAATCTTAGGATTGCCACAGAAAGAGGTCAGTCGCTTCAGAAGGTGACAAAATTATACTGTCAGCTTGACGACGCCTTTTTAGTTCATCTTTGTTTCCTAGTTGTTGAACTAAGAAAATCTTCCTTTTTTGGGTGCCATCAATTTATATAACTCTGCCCACCTATTTTTTTTTCGTTGGCGTTTATATATTATCAAAAATTTGATAATTTGTATAGCTAGCTTTTCTATGAAATTGCTACAACTTTTAAGTTACACTTACAAAAGTCGAGGAAACTGAACACGCTCAAGAACAATATTAGAATCACACACATTAAAACTTGGGATAAAGCAAGAAAATATCAACAGATCAGTCTAGACAATTACATAAATTTTTATCCCACCTACATATTTCTAAATCTGCAAAACAGAATGAATATCATTCAAGTTAGATGCTTAATCTTGGTGGCTAAAATCAAAGCAATTACGGAAATAAGACACACATACCAAAAAATCAACTTCCTATACTTCACACAGTTACCATTGTGCCAGTAGGAAAAAAAGAAGACCCATGGGCTCGAACCAGCTGAGAAGTTCAGTTTCGACTTCGAAAACATAAAATTTTATTACTATATTTATCAATTGACTACTCCACGATAGCAAAAATATTTAGGGCGGAGAGAGCTAAGCTTTAGAAAACTTGAAACATAAGAACAACAAGTTTGTTCACCCTGTAAAAAGAGTGCAGTCACAGTTTTACCAAAATCATAGAGTAATCTAATGTACAACAATAATCGAAAAAGTAAGAAAGCATCAGCAGACGTACCCAAAACTCAAATTTTGATATGACTAATTGCAAATCCTATTGAAGGCACAATGATTGAAACTATTGAAAAGTACAAGAAAAAATTAATATCAGCAATAAACCCAAATAAAAAAAAAGAGGAAAATTTAACACACCCATATCAAATTTGGTCAACTAAATATAAAATTGGGAAATATTTTCTAATGCAATTTCAATTTGAGTAAAATAGAAAGATAAAAAAAATCAAAGAAACATAGAAGCTTACCTAGCATGAATGCTTGAGAAAGGAGAGACATTTTGTGAGCAAGCTAGAAGTAAAATCTCAAAGTTGAAGCAAGACACAGTTGTACATTGAAATAACAGAAACATGACACGTAGCTATATTTGATTACTAAAAAGACAAAAACACCCTTACATGTGATGATACAGGCATGTTGAACAAGCATTTTCTAATATAAGTAATTTGAACTTGACAGTCATCACAAAATCTTAATTCCTCTATATTATATAACATGAAATATAATTATTATAAATATTGACAACTCAAACTTAAATATCCAATCATTTTATAATATCTTTACGTTTTAATTTACTTATTTTATTTTGACTTAAGCATAAAAATTAAGAACAAAAAATAGATAAATAAATTTTATAATTTAAATTGAAAATATATTAAATATTTGAGATAAATGTCAAAAACACATTTTTTGTTTAGTTTGAGAAACACACCTCAACGGTGTATGTAGTGCACTCTCTCTTTTATATGAAAAAACTTTGACACACAATATTCTACATAGATAAAATATTTTATCTAGATAAAAATTAAATAATAAAAGATTCTATATTAATTAAAAATTAAAAATTACTATCCATATACAAAATTTATTTATTTTTCTTATCTCACTCTACCACCTTCTTCACGTACATATTTTTAAAATTTTCATATTTCATCCTCCCCTCCCCCCCCCCCCCCTCCCACTAGAGATTGATATTATTTTATTTTAAAAAACCTACCTCATCCTATTTAATTTTTCACTCTTAATTTTTATTTTTTTATGTTTTTCTTATTTCATATTTTTTTAGAAAAAAATTATACTATTATACCGAATATAATATAAACAACTAAAAAATATTAAAGTCTTGTGGCGGCAAGTAAAAAATATTTTTGATATGTATATTTAAACACTGGAAAAAAAATTTGAAAAACGGAGGGTTAAGTGGTATGGGTAGAATTATTCTTTTAAGAAAATAGAATAATATCTAAATTAGTATTTTGATGAGGGAAGAAGATGAAGTAAAAATGAAATATTATAAATGAAATTTAAACAAAATAAAAAACTTTAAAAAATAATGTGGGATAAGAAAAATATTTTATATTTTATTTTATAAAGAAAATATTATTTTTTTATAATAGTTTTTTAATTTTTAATTTTAACTATAGTAATAATTTATTTATTTTTTGTCAAGGTCGAATATTTTGTCTATGTAAAGTGTGATGTGAAAATTCATTTCTCTAAAATAAAAGAGACAGAGTATATTACACATACCATGATGATAGTAATATAAAAGAGAGATATTTTTCAAACTAAAAAGTGATATTTTAAATATGAAATTCAAAATAAATATATAATTTAAATGTATTTTTGATACTTATCTCTAAATATTTCAAAACATATCCTACTCTAATACTCTAATCCTACTCTAATTGTATGGTCTTAAACCTATATTAAAAAATATCCCCTTTAAAATAATTTAAAAAAATAAAAACAAAATTAGTAAAATTTAATCCCACTTATACACTCGAGTGACCAAATGTTGAAAAGTTCCAAAAACTTCCAAATATCTAAGATAAGAAGATATTTTCTAGACTTCTCCTCTTTCTTCCATGTGTTTTTCTCTAGAACTTTCTAGTCCAAATCCCATTCTTATATTACTCACAAACTCACTTGTTTATCCATCTTAATTGTAATTAGCAAAGTAATGGAGGATGTAGTGAAAGTGAAGGTCGAAGAAGATGGCATTCCGACGGCCGTGCTGCCTATGGAAGGGCTGCACGACGTTGGTCCGCCGCCATTTCTGAGCAAAACTTATGAGATGGTGGAAGATTCCTCAACTGATCAAGTCATATCATGGAGCACAACAAGGAATAGCTTTATTGTTTGGGACTCTCATAAGTTTTCCACCACATTGTTGCCTAGGTTTTTCAAGCACAGCAATTTTTCCAGTTTCATTCGGCAGCTTAACACATATGTAAGTATCTTTTTCCTTCTAATTTTATCTAGATTAAGAATATTTTCAATTTTCGATAAGTTAGGGTTTCGAAATAGCGATGTGTTGAACACCGAGGTGATCACTTTTGGCTGTTGTTTTTTTCAATTGAAATGGGTGAAATTTCAATTTGATTTTAAGGAATGACATAAATTGGCATCGTTTCCGCTTTATTGATTTGTTGAGAATGTGGTTATACTGAGTGCATGGTATTTATCCTGCTTTGAATGATTTCGATATGAATTTTGGGTTCATTAGCTTAGGCAGAAGTTGAGCTAGTGTATGCTGCAGATTGTTGGTGATTCTGATGAGTTGTACTGCTTGTGAAATTCGATGAATGTACGATGAATACTTGAAGAAAGAAGAAAGCTAGGTTGTGTTTCTTCTGTACCAATGTTGGATTATTAAGCATAGCTTCTTGTATATTTTGCGATGGAATATGAGTTTTATTGACTCTTAACTTGATGGAAATGCAGGGATTTAGAAAGGTGGATCCTGACAGATGGGAATTTGCGAATGGAGGTTTTCTGGGAGGGCAAAAGCATCTTTTGAAGACGATAAAGAGGAGGAGGAATGTTGGTCAGAGTATGAATCAACAAGGATCTGGTGCTTGCATTGAAATTGGTTATTATGGGATGGAGGAGGAGCTAGAAAGATTAAAGCGGGATAAAAACGTGTTGATGACTGAAATAGTTAAACTTAGGCAGCAACAGCAGAGTACGAGGAATCATATCATTGCCATGGGAGAAAAAATCGAAACACAGGAGAGGAAACAAGTGCAGATGATGAGTTTCTTAGCAAAGATTTTCAGCAATCCAACTTTTCTCCAGCAGTACTTGGACAAACATGTGCACAGAAAAGATAAACAACGTATCGAAGTTGGACAAAAGAGGAGACTAACGATGACCCCCAGTGCTACAGGAAGTGATCAGCCTATGAATTACTCCTCATCACACCAAGAGAGTGAAGCTGAGCTTGCAAGTATTGAAATGTTATTCTCTGCTGCAATGGACAATGAATCAAGCAGCAATGTCAGGCCGGATTCTGTTGTGACAGCAAATGGAACTGATATGGAACCAGTGGCTGATGATATTTGGGAAGAGTTGCTCAGTGAAGATCTTATATCCGGGGATCGAGCAGCAGAGGAAGTAGTGGTTGTTGAACAACCTGAATTCGACGTGGAAGTTGAAGATCTTGTTGTGAAAACACCTGAATGGGGTGAGGAATTACAAGACCTTGTGGATCAGCTTGGTTTCCTTTAGAGGTCACTCTTGTGTTCCTCTGGCCTCCTCCACTATTCCAGTATCCTATATTGAGTTACTGCATTCAAATATATTGTAGCTAATGTACTTGTTATTTCTCTTCTATAGCAGGGAAGGATAGAGTTATGGGTCGCCTAAAGCTAATTTTTTTTAAAAATATTTTATACTTCATTAATATTTAGATTGTACTAATATTTTTTGGAAAGTGAAGTGCAGAATTGATATTTTTCTTTTCATTTGATTCAATTTTTCAGGTTAAGATGCAGATATACTACTTTCTTTCATTTCAGGAAGCTTTGAGGCGGTCTCTAGTAGCGCATGTTTACAAGTAATGCCACTTAAACAGCTATTTGTTTCTTAAATTTCTTAGTTAGTCTGGAGGAATGTCCTGTGTATAATAAATAAAAAATTAAAATATACTGTAATGTTTTCTGAATGATGTGTTATGTCGTAGCATTTCTTTTGATTTTTATTTTGTATAGAACTGAGGTCCATACCATTCTCAACGGAGCTAATAATAAGTTTGTGTATTGCAGAACCATACAATTGACAATGGTGTGTAGCTTAATTATCTGGTGCTCATAAACTTTTTAGGGGTTGTTTAAATATGCAGAGGTTAGGGGCTTGGATGTATGGATCTCTATGGTGGAGAACGAAAGAGAGGAGAGGATAGAGTATACAAGAGATTTTATATTAGATAGATTGAGAAGAAAAGCATCAACATGGACTCGGCTTTCCTCAACCAACACCAGTTCCTTTATACAACATTGTGTCCACTTACCAAATCAGTGTATTTTATCACAGTTGAAGGATGGTATTTTTACTTCTTTACTGGTGTTCTTCCCAACAGTTCAAGCTGGTTTACTCCAGAACAATCCATGACAGTGATAGAGCATCATGCATCAGATAAAATGATGCAAATATAATCAGAACAATAGTAAGCATGAGGTCTGACTTTAGGGTGGAGACAAAAGTTGAAAAGTGGGAATCCTAATCACAGAGTCATGTCCGAATATTATTCATCTCTTCTGGCAAAGCATCAAACATGTAATAGGACAAATCGAACCGACATAAAATAGTAACCCAGTATTGAATCAACATTTCCTGTGACAATTATATTATATTATATTATACATGTAGAGTAAGTATTGTTCTGCACTTGCCTAATCACTATAACAGTAATTCCATGGTTTCTTTACTTCTTCAATCTTGGATTCAATTGAATTTTTTGGACTTGATATGTAAAATATAAGAATGCATTAGAAAATTAATTTTTTGTGTGTTATTAATGTCTAATTATCTGGTACATTTTTTAAATTTATGTATAGTTTTCGAATGCACGTGTATCCCATGTTATTTAATAACAAACATTTTAAATGATATAATTATTTTAGAATAATTGATGCATTATACAATATTTAAAGGGTAAAAATGATGTTTTCAATAAAACATTCAACTAAGATAGCAACTTGCAAAGATTTTAATAGAATTTGAAGAATTTTTGATTGTACTGATAAAAAAAATTTCTTTTAATCATGTAGAATACACTATATTTATTGGTAAGAAAAAGATTACTACTTCAATTATATGATTTGTCTAGATTGTCAAATATCTAACCCTATATTTTCATACAAAATGAAAGAATAAGAGAAAAATGACCAATGAATAAAAGATTACATAAGAACTATAAGATGGAAATATAAAGTGTAATGGACTAATATTTTCTTGGTATAACTATGTATTATGGTATCAGGGGTAGAACCATAACATCCGAATCCGAATCTCTTTGTTAAAAAATTATACTATATATTAAATTCCCTTAGTTTCTTGTTGATTACCTCTTCAGTCTTTTTAGTAAAAATGGTAACTATACCATTGAATTTTAGTCTTATTTTTTACCAAATTGACTTGAGTGGCACTCAAAAAAGGACAAGGAGAATAAAAGCGTCACTCCAAACATTATTTGGAGAATCTCTACCTATGTATGTTCGTCTTAGATATATTCCGTATGTGTATCAATCCAAATAAAAGTTGGGCATTTTGTACTATCTTCATTACCCATTGTCTCGATATTTTACCTGCAACATCAAAATATCAGTGGAAAAGAAAAAAGAAAGTAAGCAAAAATACAGAAGAGGACCCTACCATTTAAGCATAACCATCATTAACAACAAATACCAACAACTCATTTGATCATACATCACAAAATTACTAGGCCGGCTAGACCCCATTAATTTTCAAGATTCTCCTAAATGTACATACATATATATATATATATATATATAGTCAAACGTCGATTTGATCTCCTCCTTCATCAAGAAAACAAAAATGATGTTTCTAAGCTCAGCAATTCAAGAATCACCTATAGCTTCAACCATATTCACCATACTAGCTGGTGTTTTGGTCTACTTGTATCGACCTTATTGGCGTGTGAGAAAAGTACCTGGTCCTCCAGCTTTTCCACTTGTAGGACATCTTCCTTTGATGGCTAAATATGGCCCTGATGTCTTCTCTGTCTTGGCCAAACAATATGGTCCTATTTACAGGTTGATCAATTGATCTTCTTTCATTTCAGAAACAGTTTTTTAATCGGACTATTCATTCAAGTTTTTACCTTTCTTAAGCAGGTTTCACATGGGAAGGCAGCCACTAGTTATTGTTGCTGATGCAGAGTTATGCAGAGAAGTTGGGATTAAGAAATTCAAGGACATACCAAACAGAAGCATTCCGTCTCCTATTGCAGCATCCCCTCTTCATCAGAAAGGCTTATTTTTTACTAGGTAAAAAAAAAAAACTAAAGTTGATTCCTTTAACGAGTAGAAGAAGGCTAATGTTGTGTTAATTTTACAGGGACTCAAGATGGTCAACAATGAGAAATACTATTCTATCAGTCTACCAGCCATCTTATCTTGCTAAGTTAGTGCCAATCATGCAATCGTATATCGAGTCTGCGACTAAAAATCTTGATTCTGAGGGAGATCTCACATTCTCTGATCTCTCTCTCAAGTTAGCAACAGATGTAATTGGACAAGCTTCTTTTGGTGTGGATTTTGGACTTTCTAAACCAATATCAGACAAGATGAGTCATCATCAAGATGATAGTGAAGTACAGGAATTCATTAAGCAGCATATTTACTCTACAACACAACTCAAAATGGATTTATCAGGTTCTGTTTCAATCATACTAGGCTTGCTTGTTCCGATTCTTCAAGAGCCATTTCGCCAAGTTCTCAAAAGAATCCCGGGTACTATGGACTGGAAGGTGGAAAGAACAAATAAGAATTTAAGCAGTAGGCTGGATGAGATAGTGGCAAAGAGGATTGAGGAAAAAGATCGTAGCTCGAAAGACTTCTTGTCACTTATAATGCAGGCAAGGGAGTCAGAGAAGTTAGCTAAGAATGTTTTTACCTCAGATTATATCAGTGCTGTAACTTATGAGCACTTGCTGGCGGGTTCTGCAACAACATCCTTTACTTTGTCTTCTATCATCTATCTGGTTGCTTGCCATCCAGAAGTTGAGCAAAAGTTGCTTGCTGAGATAGATGCTTTTGGCCCTGATGATAACATGCCCACTGCCAATGATCTTCAGCAGAAATTCCCGTACCTCGATCAGGTAAATGCCATTTTCTTATATCTACAAGAAGTTCTTATAAACTAAAAGTTGAAAAAAAGAAAGAAGAGAGAATGAGAACTAGCTTATTAAACCATTCTTGTTCTTCTTGAAATTGCTTAAAAACTTAAGGTAATCAAAGAAGCAATGAGGTGTTACATTGTCTCGCCCTTAGTTGCCAGAGAAACATCAGCTGAAGTGGAGATTGGAGGCTATAAACTTCCCAAGGTTAATATCTGTTTTTCCTATAACGCTTATCATTTTACTCTTCCATGAGGAAGATTTCCATGGATTGTGCCCCGGAAACCACGGGGGAGGGAATAGGTTTTTATCAAACCAGTGCCTGTTTATTATTTTTAACCTATTTGTTACAATTAAGCAGGGAACATGGGTTTGGTTGGCTCTTGGAGTTCTTGCTAAGGACCCTAAGAACTTCCCTGAACCAGAGAAATTTAAACCAGAGAGGTTCGATCCAAACTGTGCAGAGGAAAAACAAAGACATCCTTATGCAAATATTCCATTTGGAATAGGTCCGCGGGCATGCATAGGGCAGAAGTTCTCCATACAGGAAATCAAACTGTCATTGATTCATTTGTATCGCAAGTACATTTTTCAACATTCTCCCCTCATGGAAAGCCCATTGGAACTTGAGTATGGCATAGTCCTAAACTATAAGCATGGTGTCAAGGTTCATGCAATCAAGCGCAAATGAAACTTTCCAACATATCTAATGATGCTGACAAGCAATGGTGAGAGAGCTCAACCTTTTCAAACCTAAATCCAGTCCCATCTGTGTAACAGAACTAGTATGCATACATGAAACTTCTATTACATGTAACTCAATTTTATGACAAAAAAAGATGTGAAGTTTACGCATAGTCACACAGTCAAGATGTGATCAACTTATCTCAGTAATTTATGATAATAAAGCAAATGATCTACATAATAAGATGCTTGCTACAAATGACAACTGCAAACCAAGTCCAAAACAAACAAAACATACCTACCAGCTTTTTGAATTTTTTTTTACAACAACAAGCTGTTGTATTGATTATGATTACCCTTAATCATTCTATTTTTACTCAAAGACACAATTCTGCTTGTCCCCTAATCTAGAAAATTTATCCATTCTAGTAGGAAGACAGAGGGGCCTTGAGAAATTGACTGAAGGATCATAAGCAGCACAACTCTTTGAGTCACCATTGTTGAGCTTAAGAAATTGGACCTCATCCATAGACTGTCTAAGCATTCTCTGATTTCTCTGCTTGGCCTTGGTTGACTCAGTTAGGCTCATGTAATTTGGTCGATTACTATTGCTATCTTCAGTTCTATCAGATGCCAACATCGTGTTTCCAGATATCGGTGTTGTTGATGTGCAGAATGAAGAGGATGCTGCTGAACTCTCATCATATCTAAATTCAGAACTTGGGCTTGAAGAAGAACGAGTAGTATGCCCGACCAGTGGAGGTTTAGCTGATATCCTTTTGGTGACATTGTTCTTTTTCACTTTCACGGAGCATGGTTCAGTTGTCGCCTTTTCCTTATCCTTGAGAGTCTCTAAGCAAGCTTTGGACTTTGGTGTAGTCTCCATAGAATCAGTATATGCTTGTTCCATCAATCTGTTTTCCCACGGCCTTGCTGCCATCCAACGTTCTAACCAACTCCATCCACAGTTACTCTTATCATAATCAAGATTTTTGAGAGATGGAACCGAGATAGTGGTTCTAGAATCAAAATTCTGGCTTGATTTAGACTGCTGCAATTGTTCATAAAGCATCTTAATCAATCAATTACTACAAGGTCAAATTTGTTTGTTCATAAATAGTCACTTCACCATTTACCTTTTGAGCTTGAGAGTATGCAAGTGCTCTTTCTCTCTTTAATACTCCCTCTTGCCTCATGTGTATCTTTGTTTTGACCTCTTCAAGTGTCCCTTTACTGTCACACCATCCTTCCTGGTAAAATTCAGAAAAGAAGATATGTGTTCAGGAAATTTAACCACTACTTAAAAATCTCTGACCAAAATAATACTAAAGTTTTGTACCTCAGCTTCCTTCATGGGGTCAAGTTTGCCACGGTGTTCCTCTAGTATTTTCTGCACAGCCTGCCCCTCAATGGACATACGTACACGACGAGCTCTAACTCGGGCTTGTACTCGAACCAGGGCTTGCATACACCTAAGAGTCACTGCAGCTTGCTTTCTTACTTGTCTGCCCCGAACAAGAGCTTGAAGCCTTACCAATCCTTTCAAGGCCCTAAATGCTCTTCTTGCCTAAAATGTCAATTAGACACATCAAAATGAATTTAGAGGAACATATAATACTAAAACAGATCAATCATATCATTGTTCAAGATAAACGTTAAATCTTATCAGCAGAGAGAATCAGATGCTGTCGGAACAGATATATCTGTAAACATTCCGCGCAATGCAAAAAGGTTTAGTAAGAATAAGGATTATTAGATTTCCTATATCAGAAGCTGAGTCAGGATAAGTTGAAACATGTATTCTGGTCTTCTGAACTATTTACTAAAAGATGACATTCATTATGCAGAAATGACTGTAGACAAATTCCTGAGCTTACTGCTAGTTTAACTTATTAAGCCTGTATATATGTTGTTCAAATGAAAGAATTAGTAGTGTTACAAAGATCTCCCCACAGATCCCTCTCACCCATTTTCTAGTTAACTCGAGCAGTGAATTAGAAGATGCCCAGTGACATCAAAACAATCATGTTGTGGAAAAGCCGTCATAAGCTAGCATTTGACCATAGATTTAATTGACACTTGAAAAAAATGAATTTTTAAAGTTGTGTTTAAACACGCATTTTACTTTGAAAAGCCTTTAACTTCATAAACAAACAGTTCTGCAACCCAAAATCTGGAGCTAAGGTACTGGAGCAAAATATTTTGATAAAACTACAAGACCAAAAAAACAAGAAATCTAAAGGGAATACCAAAAATCCACGAAAGGTAGTTTGAATCCTAATTGCAGCCCATTCTTCCCTAACAGCCTTAAAATCTTTAGGAGGAGCTCTAACCACAGCAGCAACAGCAGCTGTATAAGCATCATTGTTCATTGATGAACAATCAGACCCTTCTGACCCAACACCATTTCTCTGCTTCAAACCCTTAACATCACTCCTCCATATCTTCCATTTCTTAACCTTCTTCTCCTAAACGACAAACACAAATTCAACAACAATAAAAAAAAATGGTAATCAAGAAGCATAAAGATTCAATTTTTATCACTTACATGATCCTCTTTTTCACTCTTCTTGAATCCTATCAATGCTTTCACCCATTTTCCAGAAGCACCCATTTTGTTTTAGACAAGAAAGGTTTCACCTTTGGAGAAGTCAAAGCAGAAAGAGTCTTGTTACTTCACTTTGAAGGGAAAAAAAGAAGTTCACAGAGAGTATTAATGAGAAAAAAATGATTTAATTATTTTTTTCTTTTAAAAATGACTTGAAAACATAAAAAGATTGCAACTTTTAATGGGAAGTTTTTGAGATATGGGATACGTGGGTGTAGTGGGGGTGGGGGTGGGTGGGCTGACTGCATTGTGCAAAGAGCCGTTGGGTTTTGAAATTCAAAAAAATTAAAAAAAAAAAAACCAATAAAAAAGGACAATGTGGTCTTGTTTGTGTGTTTTCCAGTTTTCCCGCTTTGGGGGAATGGGAACAAAAAAAGGACACTGGTTTTGTTTGAAATTACAAAAATGGGATGGGACCCAAATCCTTTTGTATTTGACCCTAAAAAGGAACGACCCGTTTTATAAAAAGGTGAACATAACATCAAAAAGAAGCAGACAAACAATCTACAAACTTACTGTTCTTAAGATCTCTTTTTCTCTCACTTTACCTAATTTATTGTAATGATTCCATTTCATATTGTTTCAGATATATCAATATATTCTTTTAATATTATCATTAAAAAATTATTTCTTAAAAAAAAACAAAAAGAACGGTACATCAAACAAATTAAAACAAAAGACATTGTATTTTGTTGGATTCACTCCAATTTATATTAGTACTTAAGTTAATTTGACATAATTCTTAGAGACAATATTTTTATATAGAATTTATTTTGCTAAATTAACTTTATTAATAATATCTAAAATTTTAAATTTGACTACTATCTTTGTATATTGTAAAATCTCATTATATTAATAGTCAGTAAATTAATAACTTTTCTGAGATAATAATTTTCACTGATTTTGATATGAGTCAATGAAGAGAATCACATATTTCGATGAGATGAAAAGAATATATTTTCAAAAAACTCCTCTACAAGTAAATGTTTCGATTATATTATAAATTAATAATGCTTTAAAGGTACAAATATATTTAAGACAATCTAGTGAAATTTGATTTTGTTGTGTTTTATTTTATGTTAAAATTAAAATTGAAGTTTATTTCTTACTATATCCAAAAATTTTGGTGATGACTTTTCGAATTGACCATTAAATTGTGAAAAGGCCTAGATGTAATAAGTGTTTCTTTATGCGTAACTGATTCCAAAAATATTGTTTTTTTAACTTTATCTTCAACACTGTTTATTCCGATGGTATCTATAATTTCTTCTAAGTTTCAGACATATGTACATGTATTATTTTCATATGAGTAATCCAAGATGTTATTGATGTTCATTTTATTATGTTAACTGAGATCATTAATCATGATCTCAAGTTTATGAATGACGTTTTTACAAAGTGGGGTCATTCAAATTTTCTGAAATTTCATCTTCCAAATGAAATTTGCAGTGATGAAAATAATTTGTCTCTTGCTGAACATTTATCATCCAAACTATAATTTCAAAATTGATAGCATTTGAAACATTAATCTTTATGGATCATGTTTGCCCTACTTTACAACCTGCTAATATTCTATCATAAAATATGTTAGATACACCTTGAAAACTCTTATTATTTCAGCATTACAGTGTTGAATTTTTGATGTCATGTTTGGTGGCAAGAAAAACAATTCAACATTTATTTTTTATAAATTTAATAAATATGATACATAAATTAGTAAGATACAATGAATTTGATATATCAAAATTAATCTTATTGAATCTCAAACACTCTTAAAATTAATATATATTAATTTATTAATTAAATAATATCCCAACAAAATAAATAATATTCCATATTCCTACCTATATTAAATGAGTAAAATTTTACTATACTCATTTATAATAAGGTTTCTACGGGGGAAAATGTAATAAAGCAATTTTGATATGATAAAATTAAGAAATAAAAAATTAGTAAATGTAAATGGGAAATAGGTTTGATATGCGCCTAAATTTGTCATTTAAAATTAATAAATCTCTTTTTATAAAAGTGACTCATATATATCTCTAATGTTATTCACATATTCCATTTTCTTTTAAGATAAGTGAAAAAATTGATAATTTAATTTGTTAATTATTCTTTTAAAAAAGGAATATAATTTGATCCTCTTCATACGTATTTTATTTATTTATTTATTTATTGTTTCAATGATTGATTTAGATTTATTATTTTGATGGTCAAGTTTATTTATGTTTCATTATTTTTCTTGTATTATAGTTGCCCCAATTTTTTTACAAATACAAAAAATTAAATTACAATATATCCAAAAAATAGTTTTAAATTATAATATAACCACCAAAAAATTAGTTTTAAATTTTTTTCTTTACACTAAAAAATGAAAGAAAAAAATAAAAATAAAAAATTTAAATAATAATAATAATAAGAGAAGTCAAAAAATAATTTATGTATGAAAAATATTAAAATATACCTTGAACTTTACTAGAAGAATCAGATTTACTCTTACATGTAATTTTTTTTATAAAAAATAAAAGTCAAAAAATATAAATTTGAAACTAATTGTTTCACTTTCCCTAGATGTAGGGTATATGCGAGCTCCTTTTATAACATATACATGAGCAATTTGTATGACGGTAAGCGCATATATATATATATGAACTATTTTTATATTGATGAGTATATTAACTCTAAATGACAACGTTAATGTATATCAGGAACAATGTTAGAGATATATCAGACCCTTTTTCCAATGTAAATTTGATACTACAATAAATATTTTACGAATGAACAAAAAAATTACTCCCTTCATTTAAAAAAAAAGGGTCAATTATACCCCTAAATTATTCGAAAAGGTCTAGATAAACACTCCGTTTAAAGTTTAGTTTACTCATGCCCTCGTCGTCCAATTTTTTGTCCAAATATGCCCTTATGGGCGTTTGTTGTCATGTTGGACATATCCAACTCATTTTTCATTTCTTTAAATGACATATGGAATTGGCATGTCATTTTGACCTTACCACATGACATTTATATGAAAAATGGAAAGATATTTGGACTCATAAACACCTAATCCGACCTATAAATCAACTCCTTTTAAATTCACTATCCAACCCATTTTTAACAATTTTGTTTTATTTTTATTTTTTCGGCAAAACCCAAAAATGAGTAATTGATTAATAAAAAATATAAAAAAATGAAATTAACGCCAAAAATCCACAAATAAATATAGTAACCTTATATCTAACATTTCAATATTTTTTTAATTTTTTTAGTTTTCGATAAATTTTGAAAATGAGTAATTGATTAATAAAAAAATGAAAAGTATAAAATTAACGCCAAAACTTCACAAATAAATATAGTAACATTTCATTCTACAAATTTTTTTAAATTTTTTTATTTTTCGGCAAATCCCGAAAATGAATAATTTGTTAATAAAAAGGGGAAAATATGAAAACAGAATAAAAATTTACGTCAAAATTAACAAATAAATATAATTACCTTAAATTCAATAATTTCAAAAAAAATTATTTTATTATTTTTTCGTATTTACCTGTTTTTTATTTGTGAATTTTTAGCGTAATTTTTATATTTTCTCATATTTTTTGTTAATAAACTCATTTTTGGGATTTGCCAAAAAATTTAAAATTAAAAAGTTGTTGAATTTAAGGTTACTATATTTTTTTATTTTTTTTGGAGTTAATTTTAAATTTTTTAAATTTTTTATTAATCAATTACTCATTTTCGAGATTTATCGAAAAAATAATTTTTTTAAAAAAAAGATGTTTAAATTGAATTTAAGTTAACTATAATTATTTGTGAATTTTTGGCGTTAATTTTATATTTTTTTATTTTCTTTCTATTTTTTTATTAATCAATTACTCATTTTCAGAATTTATCAAAAAAAAATAAACAAAATTGTTGAAAATCGGTTTGATAATTTATTTTAACGCGGCTTGATTTATGGGTCGGATTAGGTGTTTATGAGTCCGAATATCTTTCTATTTTCATATAAATGTTATGTGGTAAGGTCAAAATGACATGACAATTCCATGTGGCATTTAAAGAAATGAAAAATTAGTTGGATATGTCCAACATGACAACTAACGCCCATAAGGGTATATTTGGACCAAAAGTTGGATGACGAGGGCATGAGTGAACTAAACTTTAAATGGAGGGTATATCTAGACCTTTTCGAATAGTTTAAAGACATATTTGACCCTTTTCTAAAAAAATGACATAGTTTGACTTGGAATGAAATTTAAGAAAAGAAAGAAGACTGATTAATCTTGTGGTTCTAAATTAAATTTATGTTAAATATAACAAAATATCATTTAATTTTGTGACCTTAAACATATCATATAAAAAATTAAATTTAAAGTAATGTTAAAAAAGAAAATGAAATATTTTTTTAAACAGATTAAAAAAATTGAATCATTATTTTTTATTTTTAAACGGAAGTAAAAAGAAAAGTATGGTAAATGTAAATATGAAAAAGACAGAATGGTATTGCATTGGATCCCATCTAGGGACTGTCCTCTGCACTGTTATTTTTGAATTTTGGAGCAACTGTCATACCATTCAAATTCAAGTGCTCAATTATTGGCTTATATTTCAAATTCAAGTGCCCACCCATAAGATTTCTCTTCTTTTTTTTCACAACCACGTTGTGTATTTACAGAATGAAATAATTTGATTAGAATGTTAATAATGAAATTGTGAAGTTCCTTGAAAAATCTTTTAGAAATGATAATAGACCAAGCCTTTTATTCACTTCAAAAAGAATTTGAATAAGTCATAATTCAAATTGTATAAAAAAAATGGCTTTTTATATAGTGATAAAAAGTTGAGATCAATAAAAAAAATTTTAAAAAAACTTTTGACGTTCCTTGAAACATAATGCATAATTACTCTAGTATTGATGATTACTAATCTAAATAATCAAGCAGGGAAAAAAGGTTAGAAATATATTAAAAATTTAACCGCAAAAATCATAAATTTTAGACATAATTTATTATCTCTTATATTATTTAATAGTGTATTTTAAAGATATATAGGTGTTCACCTGGACATCATAAATATTACATTATTATAAATAGTAATTTATTCAGATGAACACTTATATATATCTTCAAAATATACTATTAAATAGT